TTGTGCTTGAAATTTTATATGCAAGAATGAGCCATTCGATACTCATTTTCGATTTTTGACCAAAATGAGCCATTTTCGGCCAATGTAAACTCCGTATTAGAAATAAATTTCCCACAAGGTAAATCATCAAAATTTCATATATGTGTCATATGTTCTATATGTAAAATGTAAACAAACAACAGCTAAGCTGTAAACAAAGGCATTGAGGAAGTAAGTATTTAATAAAGTCTTTGTTTTATCAATAGAATATGTTATTGATATATCAAATGTGTAAGTAATTTAAGTATTATATTATTATTATAATGATCAATCTTTATACTAAAAAATAATATAAACAAAATTATTTTTGAGATTAAAATTTAGATATTTTATAAATAATAATTTTAATAATTTTATAAAAAAAATTTTAAATAGCAGTAATTAAGGAATTAAATATTGTAAATTTTTTATGCACTTCACATTATTTAAATATATTTTACGTAATTGGAAATATATAATTATTATCTTATTATTTAAATTCCTTAATTTTTTTATGTATTACTGAGTGGAGCTTCAATTGTTGTAGTTTCGGCGGTAACAGGACTTGGTAGCACAATTTGTAATATTAGGTCTGTTCCACGAGCTACTTGTAGTAAAACTCAAGTAAAACACAAGTAAACTTCAAACTGAGAGCGTGACACAAATAATGTGTCAAATTACGGTCTTTACACAGATTTCCATGGAGCAGCTTTGTGTAAAATCTGATGAGAACACCAGTGTTACGCTCTATCAGATGCTCTCATTTACTCGGAAATTTGGTAATAAAAACTTTATGCAAAAAAAGAACAAAAGAAAGAGAGTGCAAGAGCCCAACACGCAAAGAAATAACGCACGCATGTTATCTACTCTGCCAGTCACACAAACAAAGAATGCAAGCTGTGATGTGTGTTGTCTCTATTTGCATTAGGTTAGTGACGACTTTACTCTGGTTTTTAACTATCCCTGCTCCATTTCATACCACCACCCTTTTAAAGAAAAAAAAAAAAGTAAATACGTTGTGCTTAAGGTAGTTTAAAAGGGATCCAACTGATTCTGCTTAGCCTATGTACATACATACATACATCGTATATAATGATGATGATAGACATATAAACAATATAATACTTAAGTAAATGTAGTAAAATTTGAATTTTTCTTGATTATTAAAATTTTTTTTTCATTTCACAATGCTCATAAATTAATTGTATTTATTTACTAAGAATTTTACGCAACTGGCGTTTCCTGTCTCCTGTCTCCCGTTTCTTGAACGGAACGTGTTAAGAAACTTAAAATTATCTCATGACAGTGCGCACAACTGTAACGTGCCTTGGCTTATCCTTGGTGGAATGTTAAAATTTTAATTCTACATCTGATGTGGCAAAGTACATAAGGTATATGACCTACCATATATACACACATCTTTTCAAATCAAACTGGCGGCTCGAGTACTTCGGCGAGAGGCGTGAGGCGTGATAACGACAATAAAAAGGTACATGTTTTGCATTATCCGCAATACCATACAGAATACCATTTTTTAAAGCTTTTAAATGCGATATAAAATAATATTAAATAAAATTTGGCAGTTAATTGAAATTTCTTAGATATTTCACTTAAGTACAATGTTTTAATTTTTGTACTCGCAACCAAAAAACTAATTGCTAAAAATATTTGTTCTAAGTCCTCTGAGGGTCCTCAGTTGTTAGCTTCAGTGCTGTTGTGGTTCCTTGTTTGTATCTCGTTGCGGTGTTAATTAAATTGAAAGTGCAGCCTCTTGTTGGAGCGAGCAGTTTCACTCGTTGCAGTAATCTTGAGTCTATGAATTGAGAGTTTGTGTGACGTAGTCGAAATTTGATCAGATAATCAAATTAAAAAGTTTCGTAAATTCTGCTCAATTTCGATTAAAATTTGTAGTTTGGCATATCAATAAATAACTTTGCATACATAAAATCGAATTGAAGCTGTGGTGAACCTCAGGTGGTTTAAAACAATATTAGTATTTGGTGGAGAAAATTTCCAAATAAAATAAATTACTTAGATTTTAATCAGTAAATTTAAAGGATATAGATTATTTATTATTAAAAAAAATTGTTAATGTTTATAGATTATCAAAATTACTGCAGTTTACAATTTTTCAATATGATGAACTATTGTGTGATGAACTATTTACCTATTCCATTTAAAAAAAAAATGCATACATTCAATACAACAGTGAGTCAAACATATTGGAATATGTGGTAATCGCTTTAGCGAGCTTTTGAAAGTGTCAAAATCCTGAACTTGAATTACTCAGACTCTCAGACTCTTGAAAAACATCAAGACTTTTGTTGTCTTTTGGTTTTATTTGCTAAATACTTTTGACGACGTAAGTAGAGCTTGATGGTACTCGCTAAGCAGTTCATATTGATATTTATTTAAATTAAACACTCTGGTCTACGCAGCCATCATCTTATACGAATACATTTATTGTGCCAGTTGTGACGAGTTCTCAAAAGAATTTGCAGGGGTTAACTCTGTATATAAAGGTGCATCCACACCAAAGCGATCGCAACTGTACCTTAAGCGCAGCATAGTTGTTCTACAGCTTGCACTGGTGATCGCATAATAACACAATAAAAAATGCGAGCACTTTGACCTAGCTCTAGTTAATGTTCATTGTAGTGCTAATTTTACTAGTACTATTATGGTACTATTATGTCATCGGTAAATGTAATAATTTTTTAATACAGTTTATTGAATTCATAACTTTATATTGAAAAAGTAGTTAGCTCACTTATCATATTTAAAAATTAGTTGCTTATTGATATTAAACTTGATATTGTTTCTACACTTGCGAATGATTTTATGAACGCTTACTAATACGATGAGCGATGACTAATACTACCTAGTAATTGATTGCCTTATCCATATCAAGTTATCTAGAAATGCCAATTAGCATGATGGACGCCACTATACAAATTCCCGTAACTTTAAATCGTATGACTGTAAAAGGTTATGTGTTTGCGAACATGATGTTATCTATATTCTGATTCTGGAACCAGTCGCATGTATTATTCCTCCACTTTTCCATATTCGTCCATTTTCAATAAGTGGCCTTTTTACTCCTCTCAGATTCAAGTAACTGAAGTTTAAAAGCACTGGGAAGAAGTACTATACCATAAAGTTGAAAAAATTGTAATTTAGTTATAATACCATAAGCAAACCAAAGCAGTAGTTCGGGAAAATACTAAACATTTTTCATTGACCTATGGAATAAAACTTCCCGCAGTACAAATTTAATAATAAATTTTGTAAATCTTAGTAGACAGATGATAATAGTAGTAGTACTAGTACTAGTAGTAGTAGATAGTACATAGATACATTTGCCTCTGGCTGATTATTTATTTCGATTGATTTTTTTTACTGCTGTTTTGCATGAACTTGTATGGAAATAAAAGTTTATTTATGCAACAAATTTTTTCCTTTTAATGCCTATAAAACTTTGCTCTTCCTGTTTTCCCGCCAGAGTTTAAATCAATTAAAAGTTTTTTAAAGAATCCCTAACTTTTGGTCGAAGCGATTATTTTCACTACCTGTGGTGTCTGTGGCGAGAATGTTTAAATAAATATTCGTTTTATTTTATGGTTAGCGAAGAAAAGCGTGTGGAGAATATGAAAAGTTTACACAATGTAATTATGCTCAATGTTCATTTTATTTTTTTCTCCCAAAGTACATGAAATCTTAAATTTTAAATGTTATAGTTGTACATTAAGAGAAACAACTGCCGTTTCAAGCAACTCTAAACTCTTGAAGATTTCTTCTTTTTACGAATCTTCTTTTCCTTCTTTAGCTTGATTTTTGTTTCTTCAACTTCTTTCCTTAGTTTCTTCTTTAAATGCATTTTTTCCTTGGCTATTTGTAGAGGTACTGTCAACTCTAGCTTAGCCATAGATTGTGCGCAAAACTGTGCCATGGACTGGGAATTCATATTTATGATACTCGCTGCAACTACGGAACCTATATTGCTCGGCACTTGAACAGGAGGAATATTTTTAAGCACATCTTCCGCTGATTTCGGTGGCAATCCTCTGCTAGCCCGGAAAGCATTATCAGCAGCCAATTTCGACAAAGCTCGTTGCTTTTCCTAATGTTATGTATATATACAATTAAAAAACATATACGGAAAATGTAAAAAACAACAACTTTACTTACAAGATTAGATTTCGATGTTTGAATTAGAAATTTACATTGACGTATGCCATCCAAAAAGAGATGATCGACGCAAAAATTAAAGGTGCTCATGTATTTAACCAAAATGCTGTCAGTGCCCATTTCTAAAATTGGGTAAATGTTGCTAAGATGTGGAACCACATCAACTAATTCATTCAACAACACATTAGATAGAGCAGAATTCTTGTAAACAATTGGTATCTCGTGATATAAGTTTTCAAAGGTAACATTAAGTCTCCGCATTGTAGGTGCAGTGAAGTCTCCGCTCTTATATAATTCGATTGCTTGCGGTGATAAACGGTAAGCATTTAAGGACAAAAAGCCACGTGATGATTTTACAGTATCATAAATAAGTACAACAGATTCTTCAATATTCGTTTGATAGTTAAATTGGGATTCAAGCAATCCTTTTGACAAAAAGTTACCTAAATTAGAATTTTGGTACCAGCCAACATGAAAATGATCGATATTAACATGACGTAAGCGACGCATTAGATGAAATTGATAAGCATCATCATCAAAGTGCTCCTCACTAGCTCTAGGATACGAAAAACAGTGATTTATTTCTAAACATTTGCCATCTAATAAACCGAGTAAGGCGCCTTGCGCTAAATCTGTTTCACCTGCCTCAGTGCAATGCTTAACAATTCTCATTAAGACCTAGAAACGGAATAATTAATTTAAAAAAAGTTCTTCGAGAAATGTGTGAAATATTAACATATTAGTCAGTTATTTAAAATAAATAGCACAACTTACATTTCCATCACATTGAATTTGTGACACTAGAGGATCAGGACCACAGTCACCTTCTTGTATTTCATCCCACCATGTGATTTGACGCTTAACGTTTTTATCGTCCTGTGGTTCGTTTTTTATTTCGGTGTGATTCAGTGTTGAGTCCATTTTGAAGTTATTATTTTTAAGCCCTTCTGCAGTTGTTTCTGGTTCGCAATTAACAATAGGCGAACTAATAAATTTTTCATCAATTTCAGTCCTGAGGATTTCTGCCATTATGTCAATTGAACTTTCACTGTTTTCACTTTTCTTATTATCATTCTTGTAAACGGCAAAGGACCCAACTTCCAATTCATCAACAATATCGGCAGCTTCAATTTTATTTAGCTCGAGAGTTTCTTGCTTTTCAGCAGCGTGTTTATCTTTATATTTTTCACTTTTTTCAGGTTGATTAGTATTAGCAATGTCATTGTTTTCGACTTTATTGGTATCATTATTCTCATCAGTACCATCAGTGCTATCAGTGTCATCAGTATTTTTAGTATCATTAGTGCCGCCAGTGTCATCGGAGCTATCTGCATCATCGGTGTCATCACTGTCGTCACTGACATCAGTGTCCTCAGATTCATCGCTGTGGTCTGTACCATCAATACTATAGGTATTATCTAAGTCATCAGTATCATTAAATTCATCTGATTCATCTGTCTTGTTAACATTACAAGATTTAACAATTTGGGACACATTTTTGTTGTCAGCAGTATAATCGGTACCACCGGTATCATTAGCGCTATTAGTACCCTCAGAACTATCAGACTCGTGAGTATGAACTTTTTCAATATCGTCTTCAGTAATAGATGCAATGCTAAAGGATTCATTAGTGTCGTCAAGGAATATATTTTCAATAGTTGCATCTATATTTTCTGCAGCATTGCCATTCTTGGGGTCTTGTCTAATATACTTTGACGCCTGTTTGTCTTTATTAATAACTTTTTTCTCTAAAACTTCCATACTATTGGTTTTTAATGCGTTCTTGTCTTCGACCAACAAATTTGAGTTATCAGTATCTATGTCTTCATTTTTTTTAATTTGTTTTGTTGTATTATCAATTTTTAGATATTTATTCTCACCAACTTCTGTGTTACTCACTTTGAATTCTCTCTTCTCACCAATCAACATTTTCGCGCTCTCAGCTTTTTTCATTTGCTCTTTTATGTTAGATTCTATTATTTTTGTAATTTTTTCAATAATTTGAACTTTAGAATCCGATTGAGTAATTTTTAGTTCCGGATTTTGTTCAACAACCGAATCAGGTGAAGAAAACTTTTTTGCAATGTCTGCAATGTTTAAAGCTTCTCTATTACTTACACCATACGCATTATTGCTAGAAGATGCTGCATTATCCCCGAATTCTCGGGTATAAACATTTGGGTATGTTTTCCCTTGTTCATGGCTAGCTGCTCTAGAGCTAGAGCTAGGTTTCTGTCCTTCATGTGTAGAAACAACTCCAGACGGCAAAGTTTCATTTTCTTGAGTTAATTTCGATTTTTTTGCACTACCAACTAAATTCTTATCAACAGAATCTTGCTCATCGTCACCCGTATCCATTTTTAACACGGCACTAAATGCCGGAAGTAACTGAAGTTGGATTTAGCTTCAAATGATTTGTCATCGAAAAATTATGTTAGTGTTGCTGCGCCCAATATCTGCTATGCCTTTAATACTATTTCACTTATAAGTTTAATGATTAAAAGGTAGTAATTGTGTGCAAAAACAACAATGAAATCTTGAATTTGTATAGTTTTGAATTAAAAAAAATAAAATAAAGTATATTATAATATAAATATATAATATATATAATAAATAATATATATTATATTGTGTACATTATATTATACGCACGTACGTAAATGTAGTAGTTAATAATGTAGTTATTTATGTGGCTAACACGCAACACATGCTTCAACGTAATTCTAGGGCGGACTTTTATATATAGTTATATTTAGCAAGAACTATAATATATATTATTTTTCAGTTTTAAATTTGTATCTGAAAATACGAAAACAATTTGACATAAAACACACATTTTCATCAAAGGTATACTTATATCTATTAAACTTAACTTCGCTTAATATATATATAAGACGAATATTATTTTAATCAACAGATGAAATATATAATATTTTCAATAAATCTGCGACCAATGTGGAACACATCCAAGTTTCATCACATCCCAGCTTTTTAATTCTAATATATCTAGAAATATAATTATCGTGCACAATGATTATTTATTGACCCGTTTCCAATTTCCTGAACATATGTCGGATGTTAGAAGAGTCAGCAATTTTGACCAACTGATAATTTAAACTGAAGGTACATCGCTTGTTGATAAGATTCTCGTCCAAGGAGGAACTTTCTTAAAGACGTGACAAAAACACCAACATTAATTTGACGAAAAGTAACTTGCGGCGAATTCAAAATTGTAACTTCTATTTGCCCACACACGTGAAACGTCAAGTATAAAGGCGATCATTAGTTGCGCCATGAGCAATCAGCTGATCCATTCCACCTTATGATTCGATTATTCGAGTGCATGTGGTGCATGTGGATATACCACACCAAAACGAACGAATTAACATTTACAGATACCATTACCTTAAGGGGAAACGTAAGCACGAATTGAGTTTTGACGTAAGCAGAGGTAAAGTTTATATCAGCTGTTGTAAACATTTAGCATTTCCCCTTGTGTGGCCTGATCGAATTTGTGTTCTTATCATTTTTGTATTTCTTGCAGTTTACGTTGACTACGTTCGGTACGTCTACATCTACGACAACTTACTTAGCCTTAAACCATGGGCTGCTTGCCGCCACTGCTTGAGAAACATTTATTCTGTTTACAGAAGTGAAATTCTTAAAAACTTGGCTTAATACGTATTGCAAAAACATATAATGCGATTATGTAGATAAGAAATTTATCAATAAATGCTTGCAGTTCATAATTTTTGAATGAATTTTGATGACAATCAAATTTAATTCGAATATGGGGTATATTGGGTATATATTGGAATATTGGGTGTCATGCCAAAATACAGTGTAATTCTTATTTGCGAATCTCTGAATTTGTATTACTGTTTTTTTGAAATGTGAAATTAATATTTTTTATTTAATGGAAGCTTTATGTTAAAGTATTTTATTTTGGTTTCAAGTATACATTCGTTTTTAATGATAGATGATTATTAAATAATTATAATAAGAAAAGTTGATTTTGAAAGATATTGTACATGAGATAGATATTGCATGTAATAGGTCTGTTCCACGAGCTACTCGTAGTAAAACTCAAGTAAAACACAAGTACAAACTAAGAGCGCAATACAAATAAAGTGCCAAATTACGCTCTTTACACAGATTTTCATGGAACAGCTTTGTGTAAAATCTGGTGAGAATACCAGTGCCGTGGAAATAAACAAGACAAAAATTCAAGTTCAAACCAAAACAGCTGATTCACAAATCACGCAAATATTTACTTGAAATAAAAAAATGTACGAGTAAAGTCTAAATAAGGAAAATATTAACAATTACAAATATTTTGGACAACTTTGATGTGCTAATAAAGAAACCAAAAGCTGTTTTTGTTTTCCGAAATAAAATATAGGTCACAAAACGACCACAAAAGTGAAACAAATGACGTGATCGAAATGCAAGCAAAGTGCATTCTTCAAAGAAATGATCTACGCAAGAAAGGATAAACAAGAGTATTCAATGGCATAGTGCATCGATAGTGATTTCTCAATTATTTACATACAGCTGGGCTTTCTGGTCACAGAAGTGCATCTGAAATAGGCGTCAGAAATGTGCGTGTTCCTTCAAGTAACACTGGGGTTCCAAAAAAATTTAAAAGTTGCATAGGCCTTTAGGAAATTGAAGACATTTTTCGCGGCACCACAACTTTCGTTCTTTGAAATGCTTATATGGTACTCCCTGTCAAACCAGTAGATCGGAAATGGTAACAGTTTATTCTGAAATATTGTTGAAAATAATAGGGGTATTCTCTCTCTCTTGCGGCTTTGTAATACTTTTACGGCTGCAAAAACAGCTGATTCACTTTGATGATGCAATTCTGCAAGTGAGGTGTTCTCGCACTCTTGCAGTTTTTGTACATCATTTTTGCATTTCGTGGTCCTTGCAAGAGAGATTGAATGCCCGTAATGATTTCTCTTTTCATAATAATAGAGTGAAAGAGTGGTTTATGAATAATTAGCTCATAAAAATCGATTTCTTTCGATTTTCTGATATGTTCTCACTCCAAATGGCTAAAAGGCACAATGGGGGAAACACTAATCTATAAAAACGAATTTTGTTTAAAGAAATTTTTCATTTAGCATTTAGCATTAGTTTGTCGTTTTTGGACCTAGTATTCATAAAATTATCTACAGGTAACATTTTCTTATCGTATCCCAATCGCCTTAAGGAAGATGGTGCTATACCGAAATATTTTTACTAATAATCTTAGATATATTTTTTGTTTTTACTCTGATTAAAAGCCCTTTCGAGCACTTAAAAACTAATTAAATCAAAGCAAACGTGTTCTTCGTGATGAAGCAGTTAAAAATATTTAAAAAAGCACAAGTAATGAATTTATTCAACTCAAGGGTCAGGCCCCCATGATAGCGTAATGGCACTAACAGCACTGTTCACCCTATACGTATATACCAACTAATGTATATTAATTCTTGTTTTGTGCGTGTACTCACAACATTTTGCATAAAGTAAAATTTTATTTAAGCGTTAATAAAAAATGCTGTTAAAATGTCTTAAATCCACTTAACAAATACTTATAATTTGCATTTTAATTTAAAAACATATCAAAACATTAAAAATAACAACGTTCCTCTGGTTATCTTTATGAACACATTATCTTTTATATACTCGTAATCATACAAGTGCTACACCGAATTATAGACCCGCCTACTGGCCTACTGGCCTACACGCCCACACTTGCCAAACTCGCAAAGTTGCCAAAGCGTTTGCCTTGAAATAATGAGTTTTGGGCAAAACAAGAGGCTTCGATGGCAATCTGAGCTCTGAGCTGTGAGCTGTGAGCTGTGAGCTCGGTACGAGTATTCATATTAAATTAAAATAAATTTCAATGTTGTAAAAAATTGTGAACCCACAATTGTGAAGAGGAGATTTAGGCGAGGCGTTGCACAGAGTTTTCATCAGCTTCGCAACTGGGATGTGATGTGACAAAAAAAAAGAAATTATTGTAAATAAAAAAGTGATGAGAGTATATTAAAACCACAAAAAAGTTCATTTGGTGCTTATTTTTTATGATGTCCTGGGCGGAGGTGGGCGTGTCAGGCATTGATGGAAATGTGGTGATGCGAGAATTAAAACTAATTTCTATGGCAGTCACTGCAACCTGGCAAGTGTGAAACGAAAAGTTTCTCTATTTGCTTTTCTGCTCAGATATGCAAATTAATGCAAATCGAAATCTTTAAAATGTTGAAAAATTTGTTCTGCGGTTTGTTGTGCTTTCGTAGTAATTACTACTCTTGTAGTATTTGAAAACTAATTACTTTGATATTTTGTGAAAGGTAATACAAAACCAACTTATTTCTATTCCTATGCTCAGAAGATTTTTATTGAAATGGAACAAATGTTCTGTTTCATTAGTTTCAGTTATAGAGGTCCAGTCATGTAGCGCTATGGAATCTACAAATTCAAAAAACAAATAAAGTTAATTCAAGTACATGGATTCGAAATGTGGAAAGCAGTATCCGAAGTTCATCCAATTTCTACGGATTTGTTGTCAGCAGCGAAAGTTTCTCTTCAGCTTTTTGAACTTATATTGTTATTGCTCCATTGTTGATACGAGTGTCCTACGACATAAACTAATTCGTTCAGATATTATTATTATTAAAAAATAGGCTATGAATGCACCCCGACTTAAAAGATCTATTGAGCGTGGGCTTAATTTTAAGTATTTGATTTGGGACTTAGATCCCGCTTCCAATATAGTCGAGCCTACGTCTCCTTCTCTTCATGACAGAGTCGACAGGAGTCACTTTCTACCACACCTAGTTCAGATAATTAGTGAGCATGAAATAAGTTCAAACCAATGCTTTAATATATATTAACTTAACATAAAGTGCATGTCTAATTTTGATTCAGACCATGATCTGTGGGGTCATGCTTGCTGTGTTGATTCTTTTTGAGGAATGGATCACATGTCAAGATTTTAACTATTTATAGAGTGCAAATATTTCTCTTGAAAGCATTGAGTACCATTAGGCCTTTTCTTTTGTAAAAAGAAAAGCATATCCCAAAAGAACGATAAAAAATAACCACTACTTCTGATATCAACTCTAGGAGAACCGGAAATTTTGTTAGGCTGTACGGTACGCAGATCTTAGATCAGGCACTTAATAATCACGATGTTTGTTTTATACACAAATTAATCAGTGCGATATGTGGGACTCTGCAGAAACCCCCCAGGTATCGAAGAGTAAAAGTACTCAGATGCACTAACTCGAAAAAGGCTCAACATCAACATCAAGTATTATTTGTCAAATATTTGTTAACAATTACCTGGAAATTTTGTACTTACTTTTAAAAATTAAATTTTCAGTCTTGGCAACGATTTGAGATGATTATTAGTTAAGCGGTTTCAAAAAGGTTGGACTAAATAAACCAGCTGTGTTGTTGTTTCAAATGTTTTTTTTTTAAATAAGCGGTTGTTCTTTTGTAATATGCTTACAAAAGAAAAGGCCTATTGTTATCGCATCGCTGCCGGGAGCACAATAAGTGCCATGAAGTCATTTAAAGAATTAACTCTTTTTATCAAGAAGACTACGATAGGATAATAATTATATTTATAAGACAAATTGATTTGTTTATAACGTTAATTTTAATTATGTTAATAAAATAATTAATAAATGCTCTAAACTCTAGAAATACGGAATATTATTTTAGTATGGAATTTAATCAATATATGTGTGTTAA